CCGAGGCAAGGTTGCAACAGTCCCGGCGAACAGGAACAACTACCCAGTTACTCTGACGATGGAACCGAGAGAGTGTCCGAAGCGTCAGTCTCAAAATAAATCGGTCCTTGTCCTCGTACCCTCTTCTTCCTCTTCTTTGGGGGATTGTGAAAATGCTATGATATCTGGACCTCGAATCTTCACGTATATAGGTTTATTGTAAAAAACTTGGTCTTAAAAGCTCTGACGTAGTTAATTACAGTCTACAAATTCGCAAGCACAAATCAATAAAGTCCTCAATAAACGATTTATGGCTTTTCAGTCGGAGAAATCTGATCAAATCCAGTTGATGTTGATTATAAAACGATCTCAGATAGAGTTCATTACGAAAATTCGGTAAAGATCCAAGCATTTATACCGACAAGTGTCTGGAGACACCTAGTTGGCACATGAATGGAAATTATTCCTCGGATGGAGGCATAAGAACTGCGCCTCGAGGACGAGCAAAACACCAACGATTCTTTACCACCACTCACTTCAGTTATCAGTCGATCTAGTTAATAATTAGTGGTGTAAAGCACATAACTGAATGATGTGATTCGCCTGAAGCAACTGACGTTCATCCAAAGAAGCAATGACCATAGCCGATTATACTTTCTGTTGAAATCAGCTTCATCTAACGACCAGGTGTTAAAAACTATTCCTGACCTTAAGACTTCTCACAGGAAACATTAATTTACATTTTTATTAATTGTAGATCATTATTTAAAAAAGGTCCGTTGTAAATGGGATCTGACTTAATATGTATAAGTCACTTACTACTCATTCCTGTTGTTATAAGGTTGCTTACGCACAACTGTGATTACCAACTTTGTATTTATTTATACCACAGCACTAAGTTTATAATGAAAAAACCCCTTGGGCTTTAAATACATAACTTATGTTTATTTATTTACTTAAAATTATTAAGCTGAAACCATTGCGGATCTTAAAAGAAGACTTGATGGTATCATATTTGACAAAAGGTGACTCTCACACCATAATTTCGGTAAGGCGTTCTTGGAAGGCCACTTTTGTCTGTGATTAAATTAAAAACTACTTACACATTTTCAGTAGTTATAATTTCCACCCATACAAACACGTCGTGATTATGTTAACCAATATGAGTTTTTTTGACAGTGTAACTGGTTGAAAGGCATTCATCACGGACCGATAGGAGTCAATGTCGCTCGATTTTGTTCTTTCTACATGCTTTTCACACGTATTTTTGGTTCAGTAAAACAATTATACGCATCTTTTATTTATTGCCTACTCTGCACTTATCGCGCTTTTTAGCTCTCTTTCCGCTATAGATGTCGGAAATAATAGAGATTCAAACGTTGGACCAGCGTGTAAAACAACACTGTTGATATTTTGAAACCGAAGCACAGTTTCCCTAGTGAATACGGAGGCAAAACCCCGCCCACATTACTCGGCTTTATGGTAATTTTCAACGACTTCTCCGCCATTATTGTCCTTAAATACTGTGACTGGGTCCTTGTTTGTTAGTCGACTACTAATAAAGCGGAATAAAATTTTGAGCTTGTCTTCAGCTTGTCGGATAATTCTTGATTCGTAGATTTTCCTTGCTTGATGGATAAATTTCGTTAATTAAGCATTAAGCCTTTGACCATGATTTCCGTAAGAAACCTGGACGGGGGAACTTTTGCCAAGAAGGGGACCTCAAAAGAAAGCCTTACCATGATTTCTTAATGCATGCCTTGCAAAAACCTTCATGACTGTAGTCTGTTTTCATACTGTTCCGCATAGTACTGCGAAAACTTACTCGAAGGTTTGTTAAGTTAAATGTCTACAACTTCAGAACCTCATCAAGAGCATTCCTTACCCGTAACCCTTCAAAACCACATACACAATTCGTGCGACTGCTTAAAGTGTGAGAACCCGATCAGTGAGCAAACAACTGCGAATATGAATGGAAGGCAAGGATGTTAATTCAAAAAACTTGTTTTGACACACCACAAACAACGTTATAATTACAGTGGAAGAGAAAAGGTGGTTTTAGCAGAGGTAAGTAGTAGAAGTAGTAGACAAAATAACCTTTCGCGTAGGCATAAAAGATATGTCAGACATGCATCCTGGCTTCCCAATTCTTCGGCCTGTTCCTGTCGGTGGGAGGCGCAATTGTGCGTCTGCTCACCAAGATGCATCAAAAATCATCTTGAAGGAAATTTCTGTTAGCAAAACCAAGCAGGCATGAAATAGGGAGTGCTGCTGCTGCTGCTTTAGGAGGCACTGAAAGACAACAAGTGGTGGTTGGCGACAATTCACTTCATGTTTATCAAAAATACCTGAAATCTGCATCCGAAAAGTGCAGCAACTGGGGAAGAGGGGGAGGAGGAAGATATGGGTTTTCGAATACAAAAGATAGGCAAGGAAGAGTTTGGAAACACACAATAGGAAACGCAGCCTGCGTGTTACGCATATTTCCTGTCATGGTAACACACACACACACATACTGCGTGTGTGAAACTGGCCGATGTCCTTTTTGGCTTGTTGAGCAGTTTCTTGGGGAGAGGACACTAGGTCCAGATGATTTCGGGAATGACATTTTCTTTGGATCCGAGGGGTGGGGATAGGTCTTCGTCCAACAGGAAGTCTTCCGGATAGTGCACAAGATGTCCTCGAATTTCTTTTACCATCTCAGCTGCCCTCGAGGCCTCCGGTCCCAAGTACATGGGTACATTAAGCCTGGCCTCTTTTACTTGTTCGATAGTATGAAGCTTGTCTGTTGGTAGGCAACTAAATACCTGTGTGCAAACAAAGAGAACAGGAATGGAAAGTTACGCACTGTCAAACAATTAATAAATCTAAATCAGGTTTCAGTTTTAGGTCCCATGTTACTGCTTATTTTCATCAACGATTACTTCACGGAGCTAGACCGTGATGTCACCCTGTTTGCTGTCGAAATAAAATTGTGAAACTTGGTTCAAAATACGACACACGAAACCATCCGCAAGCTAACTTGAACAGGCTGGAGGACTAGCCGAAGCACTGGCTTACGCCCTGAAATGTTATTATCCAAGGTGGACGACTAACATAAGTATTAACCATTATTAATTTTAAGTTTCCTACATGCATTACTACCGGCTTGCGAGTGATGATCAATGTTTTGCAAATTTTGGCTCTTTGTATAATAATAAGGTTTATTTGTATAGCACATCTTTGGCGCTGTATGAGCTAGCTTACCTAATGAAAATGTGTGACGTGGCTGAAAATGGAACACGCGGTGTGGTCAAGACTGTAATTAGGGAGATGAAGGCAGCGATCGACCACTAAAGGGAATCTGGCTTGCGCGCAAAAGATGAAGCATTTTTACACTAATGTTTTCTGGCAGCAAAATACTGGATTCACGCTCACCAAATAGGTCCTGTTGCTGGCAGCTGTCGGCGTAGCCCTTTAGAATAGTTTGTAAGTGCCCAGTAGAGAATCTGAAAGTCTTCTAATTGATGATTCATGGGGATTAGACGTGCGCGAATAGAGTCCGAAATCGAACTAGTTCTATCTTTACTCAGACAGTCAGGCAGAACGAACGAAAAAAGGCACATCGATGTGACCGAAAACATTGGCTAGTATTTATCTCCCAGCTGTAGGAAAGCTGGGTTTTTCAAAGTCCAACTGAACGCATGCTGGGATAGAGCATATAGGGAAATAAAGTGGCTGTACAACGGGGCGACAAATTGTCGCAAGTTGCTGTCCACACCGTGGGCCAATTTCACGGCCGTCAGGATAAACGGAACCAAGGCGAGCCGAAAATCAATTGAAGCCTGCTCCACGGATGGAAACGCAATCGCTCGAAATTTCGATGGTACATACGGGACTCGTTCATCGCGTCGTGCCTTCGGGCTCACCATTGAGCCCCACCAGCGACCGAAAATCAGCTATTTATGTAGGCAGAATGACACTACCGATGAGGATAGCCTATCAAATTATCGATCTAGCGCTGGCATACACACCTCTACGCAATCACCTTTAGGCATGCGTTTTAGACCATGGATTGGCTAGCAGTCCCTGTAACTATGTCGTCTGTTTTTTGTTGTGGATATCTATGAGGATGGACTCCTGCATGAGTTTGGAAGCTCATAGCACCCTGTGTGCTTAAGAATGCTACCTTGCATCAGATGTCTTTGACTTAGCAACAGCAACGAACTTGACAGGACTTCCTTTCAACTTACATGTGACAGGGGCCAGGCTTGACACTTGGAAGTTCATTTTTTCCAAAAGAATGGTCGAGACTAGGAATGCTCTGCTTCTGGACGTCATTTTGTCGCAAGCCTAAGAGGCTTCTAAGCTAGAGCGATATATAACTGTGAGCCATAACACTGCCTGACAAAAATATACTACAGTAAGCATACTACTTCTTATATTTTATGGGTCAGGAAGGGGGATTGTCGAGCAGCGGACCAATTTGTTTATTATCCTGAGATTTCAGGCTCTTGAGGGTGTCCGTCGTCAGAGACAAAAACTTTCACGAAAAGCGAGCAAAAGTTCTAGGGGCAGGAACCAATCAACAGTTATACGAGGGGAGGGAAGAGGAAGGGAATTCGTTAAGCAACAGTGCCGCCCTTTGCGAGCATGTCTGCGGAGTGCGATGTATGCCGGCGCCAGGTCGATATATCGATTGACTGAATTCTTATCCGAGGCCCAGGCTAAAATCAATTCTCGGCCTGTCTTGTTGCCGGCGTGGCTGAGTATCTTCGCAGGTGCGAAGTTAAACTCGTGACCCTCCCTCTTCCTTACCCATGCAAATACCCTGAACGCGAGCATTTTCCTTCATTCGCTATATTTTGTTGCTATATTTATTTAATATTATATATTGTACTACTATATTCATAGAATATTCTATTTATGGTAGCGTACCACGCGACAGATGCCATTCCAATGCCCGCAAAATTATAAATATGTTGGTATGCAGAATTTATCGCTTATGGTTTCTCATCATCATACTCAGACGTAGGTCGTCGCTTTCTTCCCTATGTGAACCGTGAAGATCCCGTCAACAATCGCATCTACCGCACCTTGCGACCATAGTCTACGCGACCCCTAAGCGTTCACCCTAGTGTTGACTCGCGATGAACAATCTACGATCGTGGGGGTACTCTTGTTTTCGTCACCTTGTCGATGGATTCTGCAATCAGCAGGGGGGTGCCTGGCCGCATCTTCCACACTTCGGTGATGGCCTCCACGATCCCTTCTCCGGTTCGGCCTGGCGTACTAGCCCCCGAATAAGCGACAATTTTTTCTCCTAAAAATAACAAGACGTTTTTTCCTGTCTTGCCTTTTTTCTACCTCTTCGGTTTGTGCCATTTTGCGTAGCCAATAAGCTAAGGTACAATGTTTTTGAAGTCACAACACGCATGTAAACAAATAGGGAGTTCAAAGCTGCACTCCTACATCTCCGTCAAATAAACTGCTCTAAACTGATACGAACCTTTATGTTTAGGCCGGAGATTACTGATTGGTTAACATGCTCTGCAACTGATTCACCATTTCGTTGTTGTTGCTGCTGTCTATAAAAATGAACTCCTACACGAGTTCGGAAGCTCATAACAATAAAGACGGAAAGTTCTATCGTTCAACCAGTCTTACCTTTTTACCCAGAAAAATTAAATCGCCAACCGTAGTAATAAGGGTTAAAGGGGTAGGACATATTAGGGGAAAAAATAATAAAAGAGGTAGAACATTTAGAAGAAAAAAATAATAAGGACAATTATTGAAATAGCCTAATCCAAAAACTCACCTCATCGTATATTTCAGTGTTCCGATAAGCAGTCTTCTTCCAGACCTGGTGGTAGAATTGGTCGCAGACGGGATCATCCAGTAGGTTGTAGTCCCAGTCTATGTTGGACCGGGCCTCTGCACTCAGTACGCCCAGATGTTCGGCCATTAGGGACTTGCGGAAGCGACGAGCCAGGTTACCTACCATCACTCTAGTACCTGCAAAGGTGGCCTCCTTGAGGGAGCCGCAGTCTGGGGTGTCCTCGGCCACCACAGCTAACTCACTGTCCCGGTAGCCCAGCATACTGCGGTCATTGATGTTGGCCGAGCCTATAATGAGTTTTCGGTCGTCCACCACCATAAGTTTACAGTGCACGTAGATGAGTTCAGTGGTCTGTGGTGGGCGACAGTAACAAGACATCAGTCAGTAGATTTGGATTAAGGTACAGAAGCCCTTAAAAAATTCAATTGATACGGTACAAGAATGCATAAAGTGTGGATGTGGAGGGGGACGTTATGCGAAAATGCACGAACATATTTAAGTGAGAAAAGGTGGGGCGTTTGCTAAACAGCAGCGTAAAACACAACATTTCCCCCTATGAAATGATCGCCCAAGCCAACGTTAATGTAAATATACAGTCTACTGTAATCAAGGTAGTAGTATACTTATAGTCACACCGGTTATCTGTTAGACAGGGGTTTGAATGTTTGGGTTGATATTTTAAGGGGTGATTCTAATCGGACTGAACCATAAAACAGAAACTCGAAAGGAATTTGCGGCCTTCTGAGACTTTTATTTGAAGATACTTGAACGTTAACAACAGACGTTATTCAACAAATGCACGTATTCATACAGTAGACTACCTACTTCATGAAATGTTACTCGAATAAATGAACAGTGTTTTTGCTTCCAACAAATTACTTCAGAAGAGTTGTAATACTAATTATGCTGCAGCCTAATTTCAAGATATTTCAGTCTCGTCAAGATGCTGGCTTCTGAAGGAGTTGTTTCCTGACGGCCTGCAAAAGGCATTCTCAGTAAAAGGTGTTACTTAAGCAGAACAACTTTTTTTTTATTGATTTTCAATGACCATACAAACGTAAATAGATTTTATCGAAAACATGCAATAAAAAATCTTTCATAGACTCCTTCGGTGGTATAGTACACCTTTTAAAGTTAAACACTTGAAGAAGAGATATAATACTGCTTGAAAGTTTCCAATTGAGCGATTTTTAAGGCAGTGAAATACTCATTCATAAAACATCATATCCGTCAATGCATTAATCAAAGTAAATCCACTGTAAAACTGTATAAGCAATCCGTAGTCCTTTACTCCTAGCATATCAGAATTTTTGTTGCTCTCTGGACAGAATTTACATAGCAATTAGATTGGACATCTTCAATTCGAGTTCCTACGATGTCTACCACGAGGTTCAGCAAGCTGAGACAAAGGCGGTGACTTCCACGAGAGTATAGTGAAAGTAGACTCGCGGAGAATCTACCCCGCTCTCTGGCCACTCCCGCACCTGTATCCGATGTCATGATAAAGACAAGAAGACCGGACATGAGGGAGGGCGCCACTCCCATGAGTGCCACAACAAAACACCGTGAGGGAGTGCCATAAGGGCGACATGAAGAAGGAATCATTGTAACTTGACTCTCAGTCCGCCAGTCAGTCACTCCACTACATACAACAAGACACATACACACTGGGCTGATTGCGTGGTCCGAGTTATGCCGTCAGTTAGCAAGCCTCTGTGGACAAGTGGCCGTCAACTTGAAGAAGTAGGCAGCTGTCGAGGCGAGGTTGCTACCAAATGGACGGAGTAAGGACACACATTGTCCCCCGAATGAATG